CTCGTATTATTTGCTCAGCATACAGGTTGAATAAGTATGGTGAAAGAATACAACCCTGTCTCACACCTTTCCCAATTTTAAAACTTTCAGTGTTCCATGTTCTGTTCGAACAACTGCTTCTTGGTCTAGGTACAGATTTCTTAGAAGTACTTTCACAAGCACATGAGGTTACTGAAAATTCCGTGGCTTGGGTCAGGCCCACCTTAGTCCTCAAACTGACATTTCTGCTCTTCAACACTTTAAAGAGGCCTTGTGCAGCAGATTTGCCTAATGCAATACGTCGTTTGATTTTTTGACTGCTGCTTCCATTAGTGCTGATGGTTGATCCAAGCAAACTGAAGTCATTGACAACTTGAACTGTTTCCCCATTTTATAGATGTTATTAATTGGTCCAGTGGTAAGGATTTTTGTTTCTTTACACTGAGGTGCAACCTATACCAAAGGCTGTGGTCTTTGATCTTCATCAATAAGTATTTTAAGTCCTCTTGGCTTTCAGAGAGCAAGGCTGTATCATCTACGTATCGTAGGTTGTTAATGAGCCTTCCTCCAATCCTGATGCCATGTTCTTCTTCATATAATCCAGCTTCTCTGATTATTTGGTCAGCATGCAGACTGAATAAGAATGGTGAAAGAATACAAACCTGATGCACACCTTTCCTAATTTTAAACCATTCAGTGCTCCCTTTTCTGATCAAACAACTGCCTCTTGGTCTATTTACAGGTTCTTCTTGAGCACAACTAAGTGTTCAGAATACTTATACTTTGCAATGTTGTCCATAGCTTGTCGGGATCAACACAATTGAAAGCCTTTGCATTGTCAATAAAGCATAGGTGAACATCTTTCTGGTATTCTTTGCTTTCAGCCAAGATTCCTTGGACGTCAGCAATGATAGCCCTCATTCCACGTCCTCTTTTGAAACTGGCATGAACCTCTGGAGGTTCTCTGTCAAAATATGGTTGCAGCTGTTTCTGTATTGCCTTTAGTAAACCTTTACTTGCATAGATTAGCAATGATATTGTTCAATGATTTTTGCATTCCGTTGGGTCACCTCTCTTTGGAATGGGCACAAATACGGATCTCTTCTAATCAGTCGGCCAGATAGCTGTCTTCCAAATTTCTTGAATTGATAGCTTCTAATAAATGACATATTAACATCACATGGTCATCAATACACTAAATAAAATATAACAGATCCAGTAGAGAGACCTGTTGGCCTTAATTCCCAGTCTTCTTTCCAAAGAATACCATGCATCAGGAACTTCAGGAAACAAATATTTCTATTCAAGTTGTACACTTTAAATACATAATGTTTATGGAACCCTGATGTGGTGCTTTAGGATAAGTACTGGACCACTAACCACAAAGTTGGCAATTCAAATCCACCAGTCACTCCTTGGATATCCTATACGGGGTCACTATGAGTTGGAATCGACTGGACAGAATTTAACAACAACAGCAAATATAAATGCACACTCACACATATATATACACATACCGTCATGCGCTGTATAACATTTGTTTGGGCATCTGGCGGCATATATGTCCATGGTACCAACCCCACAAAGCCTATTCCATTAAACATTTTGAGGCACATACCATGGTTCATGATAAAAATTGGGATGGTATGTTGTGATACGGATCACCACATTATTATTATTATTATTATTGCTTTATAATCATATTAAAGAATTCTCACTATAACTGGACATGTCTCCTTAATGCTTTTATGCATAGAAAGACACACTGTATACTATACACTAAGGCAAACATTTGACTGATATTAGATACTAACTGTAGCTAACTTAACTGTTCTAAATTATGTAAAAATTTTCCTTAAAGGCAGTCTTAGTAATGAAACTAATTTGTAATCTGGGAACTGTCTGTATATAATACGATGTTTTAACAAGGCCCAAGTCACGTAACACCTTATTTCATAGAATGTGTCATGGATGTTAAGGGACACATACTGTGTATGTATATAGATATACACACAAGTGAGTGTGGGTTTGTGTGTGCATATAAAAGAGCAATGGACAGTACTTGTATTGCTTTGTACAGAATACCTGTAAATTCATATATATTGTTTTATATTTGCCATTTTTTATCCTTCATAATAAAATATCTCAAACATGGAGAAATATAGACTGGCTAAGATAATAAGCAATAATGAACCCAACATCCAAATCTATGCAATCTTAACACTATGTAATGTTTTAATCAGATTTTTAAAACACACTATAAGGAAGCTAAAGCCCCTTGAGTATTTGTCTCTAACCCTATATCTTGGTGTGGCACTATAGGATAATAACTGGATTGCTAAACTAAAGGTCCATGACTCAAATCCACTAGCTGCTCCTTGGAAACCCTAAGCAGGGTCGCTATGAGTCGGAGTGGACTAGATGGCATATAACAATAGCAATCCTGTCAACCAGATATAATAATCATACAAGTTTCTGAGTTTAGAATGTCCACTGATTTTCTGAAATAGAAATAATATGTATGCAAGCATTGGTATAATATGTTTACATTTGCTATGTTTTCAAAATAATGGAGCATATCTCTTTCTTTAATTTATATTGCCTAATTCCCATTATATTCAAGATTTATTGTGGTCATAAAATTCAATTCTAGTCAATTCTCTTAAAACTGTGCAGTAGTATCTTTTATAAATAAAATATTTAATCATTATTTTGTAGAAGGACACTTTCATGCTTATCAATTTCAGCTATTGTAAATAGTTTCAATAACTGATTTTAGACATGAATCCTTAATGCACTTGTATGAGTTTATCCAGGATATATATGAGGGGGCTTTAGAAGGTTCATGGTGAAATGGGTTTCAAAATAATGGAACTTTTCCTTGAACTTTTTGAAGCTCCCTTATTACAAAAAAAGTAATAATTGGGTAAACAGCGTACATAATTTAAACTCATTCACATACTGACAAATTTCAATCCAAAATAGTTAAGTAAAAATGTATTGCTTCTAGGGTTCCAATTCATACATGCACAAGTTTATTCCAAACAAAATGTACTTAAACATGTCTCTGTGATCAGTGGATGGCTGCAGAGAAGTTCTCTCAGTAATTCACGTGTCTTGGTCTCCTTGTTGTAGTTCAGTGCTATCAAATTGGTTCTGACTCATAGCAACCCTGATTAGGGTTTGCAAGGCTGTACAGCTTTCTCCCACTTAGTTTCACTGGGTGCCTTTAAAAAAAGTCTAATCAAAAGAGTGGCTTCCAAGGGATCTGTTGGGCCAATTATATTTTAGGCAGAGATGTCAGCCCAGACTACTGGGTTTTTAGTGGGATCCCAGCAGGCTAATCTTGAAAGATTTTTCTAAAGACACAGCACTCTCATTGGCTTTGAGAAAATAGAAAATTGAGTTCATATGATAAAGACTAGGAAAGCTGCGCTGAAAATGTTTTCCCAATCTATCAATGTACCTGCACATTCTTCAAAGGTGGCAAAGATTGTCCTAAGAGGATTTCCTTGATAAATCTTACCCCATCCCACATTACACCCCTGATCTT